GCAGCTTTGCGTCAGTGAGCTCAGAGAAGAACCCCACGCCCTCAAAAGGGAGTTCCTGGATTGTGGCCTGCATCTCTTGGGATAACCCTGAAGATTGTAGCCAACAGCTGCGCCTGATGGCCACCGCCAAAGCAACCACCCTGGCGGCCAAGTCTGTAGCATCCCAGGCCATCTGGAGGGTGCCCTTTGCCACCGCTTTTCCCTCCTCCAGGATCGTGGCAAGCTCGAGGGCCAGGTCCTGTGAAAGGGCCTCCCTGAACTTGATAAGGGAATCCCATAAATTAAAATTGTACCTGCCCAACAGGGCTTGGTGGTTCGGCACCTGGAATTATAGGCTGGCCGTTGAATAAATTTTCTGCCAAAGAGGTCTAGTCATTTGGCTCCTTTATTTTTTGGCGTGCTGCTCATCTGGCCCTGCCTATCCCTCTTGTTAACTGCAGACATGACCAGCGACCCCGCTGGTGGATGCGTATAGAGATATTCAAACCCCTTTGCAGGGATGAAATACATTTTTCCCACCCTTTTGGACATGGGTGGAATCAAAGATGGGGTCTGCCACAGTGTTTTAGCAATCTTTAGGACCCCAAGGTGGACAGGTAGTGCGATGCAGGTGGAGGACAATATGACGTTGAACAAGATTGTTCCTCCAACTCCTCGATTTCGAGGTTTAAGTTGGTTGCCACCCTTTTAAGGAGAGCCTGGTGCTCCTTAAAGTTGTCGGGGGGACTGCCAGTCCGGGAGGGCCCAGCCACCGCTTTGTTCAGCCACAAAGATGATGAGTGCATCACTGGGGGAGGGGTGGGTTTCCCTTCCCTTTCTGGAGACAGCTCCTTGGGTGTTGGTGCCTGTTGATTTGTCTCTGCGGTGGATTCTGCACCGTGTTTCGAGCCCGGTGCCAGCAGTTTGTCCAAAGCGGCCACAGAGGAGTGGAACCAGCATCACCAGTACCACCCAAGGGTTCCAACATGGCCATTGAGCAGGCCACTGTCCCTGCTGCCATGCTGCCAGCATCGTGCTAGTCTTGTGGGCCGACGATGGGCTGAACCCCAGCTCTGACTCGGATTAGTCTCCTTCCGGTGACCAGAGTGGGGCTGTGGAGGCCTGTGTGTGCCGACTAAGTCTTGTCGGAGACCGGTGTCTAGAGGGTGGGGATTGTCACCTGTCCCTTGAGGGGTACTGAGGCAGAGGAGATCAGTGTCACGATGGCAAGCAGTCCCGAACTGGCGGGGACCGGCACCTAGGAGACCGCCTGGGTGATAGAGATCTCATAGACTCATAGACTTTAAGGTCAGAAGGGACCAGTATGATCATCTAGTCTGACCTCCCACATGATGCAGGCCACAAAAGCTGACCCACGCCCTTTCCCTTGACTCAGCTGTTGAAGTCCCCAAATCCTGTGATTTCAGGACTTCAAGTCGCAGAGAATCCTCCAGCTAGCGACCCCTGCCCCATGCTGCGGAGGAAGGCGAAAAACCTCCAGGGCCTCTGCCAATCTACCCTGGAGGAAAATTCCTTCCCGACCCCAAATATGGCGATCAGTAGAACCCCGAGCATGCAGGCAAGATTCTCCAGCCAGACCCTCATTGACCATTGATACTATTTACCAGCGATGGCACACTGTTGATTAATTGACTAAAATCATGTTATCCCATCAAACCATTCCCTCCATAAACTTATCAAGCTTAATCTTAAAGCCAGAGAGGTCTTTCGCCCCCACTGTTTCCCTCGGAAGGCTGTTCCAAAATTTCACCCCTCTGATGGTTAGAAACCTTCGTCTAATTTCAAGCCTAAACTTCCCCACCTCCAGTTTATATCCATTCATTCTTGTGTCCACATTAGTACTGAGCTTAAATAATTCCTCTCCCTCCCTGGTATTTATCCCTCTGATATATTTAAAGAGAGCAATCATATCTCCCCTCAGCCTTCTTTTGGTTAGGGTAAACAAACCGAGCTCCTCGACTCTCCTTTCATACGACAGCTTTTCCATTCCTCTGATCATCCTAGTGCCCCTTCTCTGTACCCGTTCCAGTTTGAGTTCATCCCTTTTAAACATGGGAGACCAGAACTGCACACAGTACTCCAAATGAGGTCTCACCAGTGCCTTGTATAATGGAAGCAGCACCTCCTTATCCCTACTAGATATACCTCGCCTAATGCATCCCAAGACCGCATTGGCTTTTTTCACAGCCACGTCACATTGCCGACTCATCGTCATCCTGCAGTCAACCAGGACTCCGAGGTCTTTCTTCTCCTCCGTTACTTCCAA